TAGGCCTTCGAGAGTTCAGGTCTTCAGAGCAAAGTGACCTGGGATAGACTTGCGCAGTTCACCTCCCTGAAAAGCCATCTTCTGGAGTTGTTCCACTTCCTTGGGCACTTTCATTTTCTGAGGCAAGTACAATCAAGCCTGAAGTAGGCCTCAACCAGGGACTTCATCCATCCTTTTCGCCCCTCCAGAACTTTTTTTCTTCCATTTGCCACTGAGCCTCCGGGCAGTCGTCCCTATCAACGTCACCCACATCCGCCACCGAGCTGGCCGTGGCCCACGTCTCCGTGGACCCAGGCCTCTTCGGAGCCCACAACAACCCCAAGTTCGCCGAGCACGCGGAGAACGCCTTCCGCGCCGCCTGCGCCGCTTGGGAAGAAGACGCCCCAAGATTGCGGGGCCGAAGCGGATCGGATCGAGCCGGATGGGATGTGGGGGGAACAAGGAATAGAATAAGGGTTCCTTCCTCTTTCAGTTTGGGTGATTAAGGTTTGCCCTTTGCAAACCTTCCTGCGCAGGGGGGCCCGTCGGTCACACGTGGAATCCGGAGACTTCGAGGAGCTGGACTGACCCTCAAAACCCATCCCCCCCCAAGAAACAGAACAGGTGCTTCTTGGGAGATGTCTTTTTGTAATTTTTTGTGCACTGTTTTACAGTTAATTGTGGCCCAAGCATCACCAACACCTAGGTTTTGAGCTATATACAGAAAATATAGAAATTTGCTCAGACCAGGCCTACAAAGGTTTAGAGTTTAGAGAGCATACTGAGAAACACAAAATAACCCAAAAAGACAATGCTTGAGATACAATGATTGCAAAACCAACAAAAATGAATAAAGCAAAATACCTAGCAACCAAAAAAACAAAACGCATACACTCCAAGAAAACAATTTTTGAGACAACATGAGGCTACTATAGGATTTGGGTTTGTATTGTTTGTTTTTTTGGTGTTGCCATCGTTTTGTCTCAAACATTATTTTTGTATTCTTTTTGGTGCTTTTTTTGTATTGTTTGTTTTTTTTCTTTGTATTTTGGTTTTGAGTTCTTTTCCTCTTTGGTGGTTCCATTTTCTGATTTGCATTCAGCACATGAGACACTCTGGATAAATCATATGATTCTTTTCCTGACACGGTTGCGTAGTTTTAAGGATTTGTACGACGTGTTTTTTGCGGAGTGCTAGAGTCACTGTGGATTTGACAGGGCAAGAGGAAGTTTCCGCATTCAACATTGGAAGCTCTCACTGCATTGGTTTCCGCACCCGCAAATGGAAGCTCTCACAACATTGCTTGCATGGTCTGTGGTCGCTTCGTAGCCTTGCTCGTTGGAGTAGGTTGTATCTGTCGTTCTGCACCGGAAAATCGCGCCTTGACATTGAGCACCATAAAGGAAGGCTGCTTCGGTCTTCACGTTTTCGTGGTCAAGTTGTTTTGTCTGGTTTAGCTCTTCAAAGAAGGCAAGGAACCAAATTTATTTCATTAACTTCTATCAAGGCAACAAGTTATGCATTATACATTTCTTTGGTTTTCTTGTCGTGGTTATTGTTTCTCTTGGTTTGGACCAGATACCAGCCAACATAGCCAAATTCATACCTTAATTGAGTCTGTGTTATTTGGCTTCTTGCCTATGATGCATAAACTCTTTGATTAGCAATGTTTCTACTTAAGTCGTTGTTTTCTAGGCCGTTTTAGGCTAGGAAGAGCTTGCTGAGGAGATAGGACATGAACGATAATTATTCAAAGCATATCTGAAAGAATAGAAAGAGTCAATCACAAGATGCAAAGCCTATTGCAGCAATAGACCAGCCTGTTGAGATCAGGGCGAAGTTGCTCAGTCTGCATATCTTATTTCAATCAATCAAAACCGTGGTGCTAAGAGTCCGCAACCTTCCAAGATTCAACTCCAAACAGCTTTGATCGACACAGAGAACACATATGGCCAGGCAATTGGTGATATTGGACAGAGAAAAATCAAGCTGATAATTCTTGTTCCATGGCATTACACATGCATAGATAGTAGGCAAATGAAGATCGAGCTGATATTGCACATAGATTGCTCACAGGAAGCTGGACAAATAGGCGTTTCGCCCAGGTTTCAGGGGCAGTGTTCTTTTTTTTGGTTGTCATGTTGCATGGTAATTCATATGTATTCATCATCGTGTTTTTGAATGGCTTCGAGCTATAGTGTGTGCTCTCCCAGGCACACCTTTCTCTAAAGAAAGGCACACGTGGTTCCGTGGCGGCCAGTGAGACCAGACCGCCGGTCGACCAGGGGCGGGTTGTCCGGGCCTGTCCCAGGCGTTGGTCTTCTTCGCCATCCCATTGACCATGCCAGAAGGTGCCGCGGCCACAGATCTATGGGTGGAGGTCAGACCTCGCTGGAAACTAGAGGAATGTTCTGTGAAGGGGGGACGGGTTGAAGTAAAGAGTCGAATCGGGTCACGGTTGCGTGACCGAGCTTGTATACAGTGACCATTTACTTCGCATTTATCATGCATTTTTTAAAACCATCTTCAGTTCAATGGCTATTTGCTATTTCAGATGACATTCTCCCCATCAAAACTACTTCGGCCCCGAAGTGATGAGATGGGAGCAGAAGGCGGAAGGGGAAGAGATGGGACCTCAAGGATTTGGCGAAGCGTCGACCCTCGCGCCCTCCTCGCGGTTTCGTCGTTTCGTGGTGTCGCCGTGAGACCGGTCTTCAGCGAGGCATTTGGGATTTCCGCGACCACGTCATCGATCTGGGCTTCTACAACAGCCAGCTGGTCGAAGCCAGGGAGGAAAGGGGGTCGTGGAGCACAGGTCGGTCGTGCAGCGGTCGGTCGTGCAGTGTGCCTGGACGTGTGTGTAGCTCTCGCGGAAAGACAGAGTAGAAATTCGGAGGTCGAAGTCAGGGCATGTTTGTGGATGAAGTTGAGTTACTCCAGTTCCTTTTTCTTTCTTATTGCTCAGGAGTCTTCAAAGTACCATGACAATTCATGGGGCCGGCCTTTTGTTTCTTGCTGACAGCCTTGGACGCGGAACTTCCGGAAAAGTGCCCTTTTTTTCGGAGGTGGTCCATGCGTTTCGGGCCTCCGTTTCGAGGTGTTTGGTGTCTATCTTCCCCAGGGCTCCAACCACCTCAGGTTCGCTGGTTAGAGCCCCCCTGGCACCCACCCCAACCATCTTCTCAGGAGGTAGTTGGAGCCCTAAGCATTGAAAGAGGTGACACGCCCCGTGCCCATGAGCACCACCGCGGCTCCGTTCCTGGTGCTGGGTCGATACACACACCTCACCCTCCCACAGCGAGTTTGATGCGGTAGCTGAACACCCACATGGTCCATAGACATCGCAAATTCATTTGAGACCTCCAGGCACATCTCATCTCCCACAGGTTGGTGCCAAGGGAGCTTCCAATTCGATCGTTTGATAAAGGAAGAACAAGGACCCTCCAAATTCACTCCACATCCAGACCCTCCAAACTCCGTCGTGATGCAGGGTTTGACTTGGTGTTGCGTTTTTCGCAAAAAGCACGGTTTGTTGTGAAAGGTACTGCATCAAGTTTTGCTTTTTTCATCTGGAAGTTGGAAGTCAGCAGATGAGTTGGCAGATGAATTGGACACTCACGCCCCGCGGCCCACGCCCTACTGGAAATAAGCTATTCGATGAGTTCAACTCCCAACTCAGCCACCGTGGACCCTCGCTCCAGAGCATCTCCTCCAATGACCCGCCTCCGGTGATGAGAGTTGCGGCGTCGTGGAAAAAACCTCTCAGACTTCAAGTCCGTGCCATGTTCGACCCCAGGTGGGGTGTGTCTCTTCATCATTTTCAACTTGGGAACCACCTTTGGCACCTCGGCCGGAGGGCAAGCTCGGCGGTCCCTGGGTCACTGTGACCAGAAAGTACCAAAGGGACATCCTTGGATGGGGAACACATATCTGGACAGGTTTCTGGACCATCCTGTGGTGTCCTGGCTGAAACATTTGTAGTGTGTTGCCGGGAGTTCAGCCAGGGTGTTGCCAAGCTGGGTACCTGGCCTCCGCGGGGCCTTGACATCGGAGGTCCTTTTTCTTCCAAAAGCATCTGGGGAAACCCCCGTCCAAACCAGAAACAGATGGTTGTTGACTGGTTGTTCCAAAAATAGCTTGAGATCCTGTCCATCACAAGTGCTTGGGAGTTGCACCCGGGCACCCATGCACAGCGTGAAACCCCACAAATGCAAACAGGAAGGCCCAGGCCGTATTCTTCCAGACTCGTGACTGCGGAAACACCAGTGTTCCCAGTGGACCGGGCAAAAGCAGGACAGGCATGAGGAGTAGCAACACTGACCTTTGAACAAGAAGCTCCGGAAGCTCAAGAAGCACCATGCAGAGAGGTTTATATAATGGTGACAATTGTGCAAGAGGTGGTTTGAGGTTAGGAAGGTTAGGTCAGGAGGAGCAGGGGTCTTCAGTGATCTGTTCGGAACCGAAGTGAATCCCAAAGGTTGGAGTTGGATAAAGCTGGATTGATCAATCTGACGTTTCACTCCGTGAATGTCTTGAAAAGTCATTCCGCATCGAACTCATACTTAGGATCAGTGAGTTCCCCACCCCTAGAAATCCTAGAACTAGGCCGCACGCACTGGTGCTTAGCAAGGAAAAGACCTTGTTCCGAGCTCATTCCCTTGTGGGCCGCACCAGTCAGCTATTCCTTCACTCCATGTCAGATCCTTCACATCTCACCCTGCCAGCTTCCTGCCGTCCGCCGAAACGGCCGCTCGCTCGAAGAACCCTCCGCCACGCCTGCCACACATCTTCTCGGCGCTGACAGCGCGCTTTCGCGCTGACATCGGCACTGAGTGCTCCAGGACAAGCCTTTAACTCTTGTCAGAGTGGTCTCAAAGGGAGCTTGGCACAGGCCTTCATCGGCTGGACGCCGAGACTGCACTCCTGGACGAGCGGGGGGGGGGGAAACGCTTCAACCCCGCGGGTCACCCGCGGGGCTTTCGGATCCCTTCGAAGGAGCGTTGGATTCCGGCGGAGGATCGGCGGAGGTGAAGGAGCTTTTCGGTCCGTCGAACGCTTTCCGCTTTCGGTGCCCATGGTGCTCCGGAGGTGCTCCGGGGGGATGTGTGGGACTTCGTACGACTCATTCTGGGAACTGTCCGAGAATCGAAGGTTCTGGGCGTCCTTTCCCACCCGAAGAAACGCCACGAAGTCGGAGCTTCGGGTCGTCCCGCCCCCGGTCTGCATTCGTCCTGGGAGGAGGTCCACCAGACCAATTCGACTGGAGTAACGCCACTTGGTTGGGCCCAAGACCAATCTGAAGCTTCCCTGCAGACCGGAACGCTTCCATCCAAGAAGCTGCAGCAAAAATGCTTGGGATTCCCTGCAACTTGGTAGTTTGACCTATCATCTCACAAACAGCCTGCTGGCACGAGGCGAGGGACGATCTGTTTTGCCTTCCCACCAACCTCACGCGAAGCTGAACTGAGGACGATGTACACCATTTGGCCCAAAGGAGATGCTTGGCGGTTTTTGGCGTGGCCTTTTTTGGAGCTTAAACCTCATGTGATGGGGAAGGTGGAGTTTTCTGCCGTCACTTTTTGTGGAATCATTCACCTCACCAGCAGACGAGCTTCATTCAAAGAAGGCTTGGAGGGGGATGCGATGAGTCTGTGTTTGTAGCATTTGTAGCTGTAGCACGCAGGAATCACCTCATTGGCCACCAGAGATTCCCAGTGATTGCTGCAACGAGATGGACATCCTTTACAGCTACCCCCCGGCGACCCCCGCTACTTCCCCTGCAGCTGAGAGGCTCGTCCCGGCACAGGCTGTCAAGGCTCGTGGAGTAGGCCCTTTCATCAGGGAAGCGAAGCAGAGAGTCTACCTTTAGGCGACTGCAGGAGAGACCCCTCGAGCAGAGGAAGAAAGGCAGGTTGACGTCAGGTTGACCAACCTATAGAATCTATAGAGTTCCAACATACGATATATGTGCCCTGGAAGGTCGAGACGTTTGGGCAGTACCTCAGAACACTTCCCCCCCCAGCTCCACCTTTGATAGGGACGTTCGAACAACAACGCCATCAAACTGCTCGCGTTGTTGTTCGACACGCTTCCACTTTCGCTGGTTGCATCCGAGGTGACGCAAGACTGGGAGGAGTCGCAAATGGCCTTCTACGGTGGACTGGCCGTGGGCATCGTCTACGTGACCTCCTTGCTGATTTTCAGGCCTTCGGGGGGGAGGGACCTTCGTTGGGCCCACTGAACCCCGGAAAAAAGCAAACAGTTGGAGGGGACCAGCAGGCGGTGAAGGCAGAGAGTGCCAGAAGGCGGGAGGAGTCACATTGAAAGAGACTGTGGCAGGAGTCACATGTTTGGGAGGGTTTTGAGTCCCATCCAGGGGCCGTGAGTGGATGTGACAACTCCTTCCTCCGTCCGGAACCGGCACCAAAAGAGCTCTGTGCTTCTGGTGTTGTTGGGTTTTTTCTTTGGGTTCGATGTGGTCGTTGAAAACCATGCCCCAGACACGACCTGTCTGGCTGCCAGTCCGGACTGCCGATCAATTGGGGTACCGAAAGAAAAGGGGTCTGGCTGGGGTGGCAGTCCTACGGCAGTCCCAGACAGGTCGGGTCTGGGGCATGGTTTTCCTCCTTCTGAGTTCACTGTGTCGCATCCTGGCGATCCGCTGCCGAGCTCGGGGCATCCCAGAGGCCCCTGAAAGAAGGAACCCATAAGCACGATTAAGCCATTTGCTGAGGGGTCTCCCTAAATTGTTCTAGTATCAAAAAAGAAGGCAAGACCTCTTTGAGTTGGTTCAGCAATCAAAGATTGGTTCTGTGTTGTTTTCCAGCGCTTGCGCAGCGCTGGAGCTTTTTGGACCTCGGTGGAACTCCCCACTGGACTCCGCAGCTGCACAGCTTGAAATAAGGCGGCACAGCTTCCCCCGACGTGTCTCAAACCATGAGGTATCGAGTCGACTCGAGTGCCATCCAGTCCTCCGGAAGAGGTCAGAGACCCCTGGGATTCAACAAAGATGGGACAGGGGTCGGTGCCAGACCACGACCACTGCACCTGAGGATATGGGACAGGAACCCTAGGGAGCCCTAGGCTGCCACACCCTTTCAAGAATCCATGGAAGTGGAAGTAGGCCATTTCTTGGCCATCGTAGGCCATCTGGACGATCCCCCTTTTTCCATATGTTTTGCGAGGATTTGATCAGCTTGATTGTCTGAGGCAGGTGGTCTTTCGGACCCATCCAGTGAGTAAAAGGATTTCCATCCAACCACTCCAACAATGGAACTCCTTCGACCCATTAGATCCTCGAGGTCGCCAGTTCAGGCGTTCCAGGAAGGGAATCTGGACATCTGAAGATGGACGTCGAGGGGAAGGCTGCCATTCCAGAGAACCTCAACTTCTGCTTGGTTCGAACGGATTGGGATAGATGTTGGACCCCAGAGAAGGCCCATATATCTACTCAGCGCACATCAGGTTGCAATCAATACCTCGCGACATGAGCCCAATAGTAGACAAGCTGAACTGCAGGTTCAGCTTGCCTTTGCAGATGTTCGGCATCTCCGGCTTTGCTGGAACCTGGATGTTTCTTGGATGCAATCATGTGATGAGGGGCTACACAATCTGAGATCGTACTACCAGTACTCCACACGACGGTATAGACAAGTTTGTTGAAACTATTTAGCTACATAGTCAGTATGTGGTGCTACTTGGTACTTGTGAATTCCACCATGTCCCTGCGCTTTTGCATTTGCACTTTCGTCATGTCGACTTTCCGCAACAAAGGGGTTCGAGTGGCAGGCAAAAGAGTCTGCACCGCGCGCGTCGTCGGCGGTGCGTTCATGGTTGATTTGCTGTGTTGACATCAAATTGGTTCTTCGGAGCTCGGTTTAGCTACAACACTTGTGACGGGTGTTTGACGCTGTGGTCGTACAGCTGTGGTGAGCGTGGACGTCGATCCAAATTTGTTGCAGTGCAGCTTTTGTTTTCCCCACGAGCGGGAATGGTCGTCAGTGGCGTGCAGTTCGTCCCGACGAGGAGGAGAATGACAGTGAGTCCAGTCAGAGTAGGCCCACACCTGCTAGATCCTCTGAGACGGGGCATAGTGGAGGTGGATCGGGTGGTGGCAGGAGCTCAGTGGGGCCCCCACCATCATATGACGGAGACCGAAGTGCAGGAGCTTGGGATGAATATCGAATCCGCGCCAGGTTGTGGCTTCGAACTACCCCAATTGAAGAGCGAGCTCGTGGCCCAAGAATGCTTCAAGCCTTAACTGGTCAGGCCTTTGAATCAATGAAACATTTGGCCGATTCGGACGAGTGGATGGAGGATCCACGCAACGGCCAATTGCTATTGGACAAGATGGCTAAGCCTAGTTTCTTTGGCAAAGAAGAATTGGAATCATTGTGGAGCGCCCTTCAAAAACTCCTGTACACCAAGCTGCGCAATGATGAGGACGATTTGGGAAGCTTCCGAAACAAGTTTGAAGAGGCCGTGAGAAAGATCACCAAACACGGTGTCACACTGCCGGATCAAGCACTTGGCTTTCTGTACCTCAAGCAGCTTCGCGTTGACAGTTCCACCTTGGAGCGCATCATTACCATGACCAATGGTGATTTGGGCTTAGAAGAAGTCATGACAGCCGCCCGCAAGCTCAAAATGCGCCTCATTGATGAGACTGAAGACAAAAAGAAGCATATCTGGATTCAGGATCTGGCCGAAGATGGAGCCGAACCCAGTGCCGATGGAGATGCCCAGGACGAAGAGCTGGAGGCGCTTGAAGGGGCGCTGCAAGACTTGGATGATGAGATTGACCCCATCAATGAAGACGAGGCCAAGGATGTTCTTATGAACCTCATCAAGCAAAAAGTCACTGGCCCAGTTCAGAGCATGTCATACCGACAGGTCCAGAATATGAAGCGTGACATTCAGAATGCCCGTGGATTCCGTGCTGTACAGAGCACTCAGCAGCCGCGTGGTCGTTCCGATCGGCCAAAGGCAGATCTCGGATATCTGAAATCCATCACACGCTGCAAGAACTGCAACATGGTTGGCCACTGGCACCGAGAGTGTCCTCACAAGAAGCCTTTCAATGGTGAGACACCTGTGCCTCCTGCCAGTCAGAAGCAGGGCTGGTGGACTCTTTGTGAGACCATCAATGAGGAGATGCAACGACCCCAGTCTTCGGAATAGGGACATCTCCCTCTATCTTTGTGGATTGCCAGCAGAGTTTCGGTTGTTGGTAGGGATAGAGGGACCTATCAGTGTTCATCAGCTATGTATCGAGCCATTCAGGGTGTTGTAGCAAAAAGAAGATCCAGGGAGACATTGCATCAGGAAGCACTCGAACCCCTTGAGTCAAATAAACGACCCAATGATGGTTCAGCCTCCGCATCCTCATTTTCCGTGATCCTGCCCACTCATCAGGATTCCCAGCAGGAACCGCTGTCGCATACCGTGGCTTGACACTGGATGCCAAGGTCACGTAGGATATAATACTCTTCAAAGGATTCGACAACAACTGCCCTCAGGTTTAGATGTTAAATTTGAGAAACAGTCCTTTTCTTTTAGAGGAGTTGGCGGACTTACCACCACTACACACGTTGCAGTGATTCCCGTGTGTTTTGGCGGTCGACCAGGCATCATTCGTGCAGCCGTTTTGACCGGTAGTACAGCCGAGGCACCTCTGCTTGTGTCCTTGCCCATACTCAAATCATTAGGAGCAGAGTTCAGCCTGAAGCACCGACATGTCAAGTATACTGAAATCAACACTGTCGGAATTTCCTTGTATAACACAAAAGGGCAGCTGTGTCTCGATCTTTTTGACTTCAAGCCGCTGACCGATCTCGAGTTCACTCACTGGAAACCAAGGAAAATGTTGGGAGATGAGTGCACGGTATTTTTGTCAGAAGACATTCAGTCTGTGCCGAGTTTTTGCCGTTGTCAATTGTTTCAATGCTCATGTTACATGTTGGGTAAACCTAACATGGAGTCCAATGTCACCGATCATCTAGGGGAGAAGATGATCACACCATGTTCATGTGGGTCGGCCACGTCACATTCATGTCCGAATGTGCCACACAGAGCCGAACAGAGTTTCACCATTTCGAACAATCCCGCAGAGTCGACATCAGTCAAGCCTTGTGCACCATTTGCTCCCGTGCTCTCCTCCCACGAACTTGATCGCCATCATGGAGGCCGAGGGTTCAGGAGTGAAGCGAGTTCGCACTCAGGCCTTGGATCAGGAGCAGTCCGCCGATGTGATTCACAAATGGCAGCGTCTCACACAGAAGCTGCATTTGGTGAAATGCTGGAAGCCCCTGCAGCGTCTGATGCAATCGCTGCTTCTTCCAGTGTTCTACCTGATCCAACACATGATCTTGAGTGCACCCATGAACACCTACGAGGAGATCGACGAGTTGGAGAATGCCGGCAGTCTGATCCAACAGATTGCCCAGGAGAAGAGGTTTCAGAAGGAACATGCCGACAAGAAGGCCCAAAAGGAGAAGAAACAGCTGCGCGAAAAGATGTATCAGCAACTTCGGAGCAGCATGGCATCCAGCTCCACCACCGAGAGCTTCATTCTGATCCCGGAGGACAAGCCCGGTCGAAAGCACCAGTCCAAGAAGAGTCACAAGGAGAGTCACAGAGCGGCACCTCTGTCAGACGAAGAGAATCTGAGCCGATGCTTCTGCGGGACCACTCCAACGCTTCACACCTGTCGCAAGCAGGGCCCCAACTGGATGCGTCAGTTCTATCGCTGCAGCCGCGAGCGTGGCTCCCAGTGCCAATACTTCATGTGGATTGGGCCGGACAAGTCCACAGAGTATCAGGAGAGGACATCATTCGAGGAGACGAGCCATCTTCAGAAGGCAGCCCACGAGATTCCAGTGTCTCTCCGCAGCTCGAACAGTACTTCGAGTCTGTCATCCATCAGCGTTGCCAGTCCTCCGAGCACCAAGAGCCATCGTCAGAAGGGTTCCAAATCGGCACCTGTTCAGGAGGTCGACTGGGATCGAATGAGCATGGTGGGCAACGGATGTGCTCATCAGTGGAGCCGCTTGGGAACCAATTCCCATCAAGAACAGCGCACATGCAAGCTGTGCGGCCTGAAGCTCATCTTCAAGTACAGGACCGGAGAGATGACTCGCGAGATGCCTTCCAGCAGCAGCAACAGCAAGCACAAGAGCAAGAAGCAGAACAAGTGAAGAGTCACTCAACTTGCACACAGATCCAAACTGTCAAGCATGGGGTTCGTAAGAGATTGTTAGGAGAGCTCAATCAAGCCATTCGATCCATTGAAGATAATTCTCACTCAAGTGATAGTCCTACCCCTGTGTGTCATGATGCATATCACATTCGTATGATAGGAGAAGTCTTCAGTGTTCCACGATTCAGTGCAAGAGCATCCGCACATGATTTGACTGCAGGCCAATCCTTCGACCTTGAGCTCGGACACAATTTCCTGTGTCCATCGGCCCGACAGCAGTGCATCCATCATCTTCGGGAGAGAAGATATGGCCTAGTGACCGTTTCCAGTCCTTGCACATTGTTTAGCAATCTGCAGTTTCTTGCTAAAGGTAAGACTAAGGAAGAATGCTTTAAAGATCCAATCTTTCTGGCCAAATATAAGGATGCTCTCACACTGTTGCATTTCGGTATCACCGTTTGTCACCTTCAAATCAAATCAGGATGCACATTTCTGTTTGAGCAGCCCTGGAATGCCAGTTCATGGAAACAAGCTAATGTCAAGCAACTGTTGAACACTCCTGGTGTCCAATTGGTAAGAACAGATCAATGTGCTTTTGGTCAGTGTGACCTCAACGGTGATTTAATTCGTAAAAGAACCGGATTTGCCACGAACTGTGCAGAAATCGCCAGAAGACTCCGCCGATCATGTCCAGGTAATCACAAACATGTTCACTGCATCGGCACGTGTCACGGTCAAGCGCGAGCCTCACAGGCCAGTAAGTATTCTCGCAAGTTAGTGGATGCCGTGTTGAAGGGATATGTGGAACACCTGGAAAAACAAGGACAACAAATATCACAATTGCGCATTTCCAACCTGTTCGTAGATCCAAATACGACTGAGGTCATGAGATGTGAATACGGATGGGATAGTGAACCGTTTTCAAAGGCACCACTTTCCTTGTTGCATATTGAGCTCTGGAGCAGTGACCAAGAAGGCCAGCCGGCAGAACATGAGGATCAGGTTGAAGCACAGCCAGCTGAGGACTTGCAAGATAGAATAGAAAATCTAGAGCCTTCCCGCCGTCGCAGTCTCATGCATGAGATCGAAAAGGCTCATCGAGGTTTAGGTCATCCACATCAGGAAAGGTTTCTTCGAATCCTGCGAGCTGGCAAGGCTTCAGACCTTGTGTTGGCATTGGCCAAAACTTATGAATGTGCGCAGTGTAAAGAAGAACAACGACCAAAACCATGGCGTCGTGCAGCACCACCAAGAGAGCTGTCTTTCAATGAAGTGGTAGGAGTAGACACGATAACCCTCAAGCATTTCGAGAAGCGCATCCAATGTCTCAATTGCATCTGTTGGGGTACGAGATATCAGTTGATCATACCGCTCAAGGGAAAGACAGCAGCTGATCTTCGTGAGGCCTATAGAACTTGGGTCAAGCTATTCGGTGCTCCACGTGTGGTCCGACCGGACTTAGGTAGAGAGTTTCTTCAGGAGTTCGCCTATCGATGTGGCACCGATGGAAGCATTGTTGATCCCATTAGTCTTGAGGCACCAACTCAAGCTGCAATCACGGAGAGAGAGGGTAAAAGCTTCAAAATGATGTTCAGCAAGGCTGGAATTGAGGTAGGGTCAGAGCTTAGTGATCAGGAAGTCCATGAACTCATTGATATCACATGTATGGTAAAGAACCGTCTGGTCCATCGTGGGGGTTTCAGTGCCATTCATCGTGCTTTCGGCTTCACACCATACCTTCCAGGAGAATTTCTTCAGGGTGATGAGACGAATATCATGTCAGCTTCCGCTAACATCCAGGGAGATCTCACATTGCAAAAGCAAGAACAGATGCGTCTTGCAGCAGGCAGAGCATTCTTTGGCTTAGAATGCCATCAAGCCATCAAACGAGCCATAGCATGCGGCCATCGTAAGCTAGATGATTTCCAGATCGGTCAAGAAGTGTTCTTTTGGAGTGTGAGTATACATCGCAAAGTAGGACATCCCAACAGTGCCTCCCGCAAGGAGAACCATCAAATGTGGCACGGTCCAGCACATGTCATTGCCATTCAACATCCCACCACAGTGTTCCTCAACTATCAGGGACGTCTTATAAAGGCCGCTCCCGAGCAATGTCGTCGTTGTAGTGTTGATGAGATAGCTTCATGTAGTGAAATCATGAGCAAGCTGTGCCGTATTCGGGATGAACTCAAGGGAGATAACATAAAGGGATTGCAAGATATCACTTCTCAAGAAAAACCTCCAGCTTCCGTCAATGAGCATCCCACTGGAAGAAAACGATATAGTCAAAAACAACCAGAATATGATGCAAAGAAGAAGAAAACAGAAACGTTTCCCAAACTTCGTCAGAAAAGACCCCTGGAAGTGATCGATTTGGATGATCACGAGTCCGACGTCAATTCCGATGTCTCGGATGCGGATGTCACAGTGAAATCCATTTCTGATGATGAAGATCTCTGGGTCGAACAGTGTTGGATAGCCACTCAGAAAACAAAGGATTCTCGAATTAATAAAGAAGTCAAATTCAAAGATCTAAGTGCACATGATCAGAAACTGTTTCGTGAAGCCATCAAAAAGGAGTGGGACACCAACATCGCTGCAGGCGCAATATCCATTTTGACTCCGCAGCAGTCCAGAGAGGTGAGACAGCAGCTCTCACATCGCATCATGCAGAGCCGTCTGCTGCTCACCTGCAAGCCGGTAGAATCCAAAGATCAGCTTCCGCCTGACCAGCGAGTACAGTGTGTAAGTGCAGAACAATGTTGTAAGGCTAAAGCTCGTTGGATTGCAAGAGGTGACAAGGATCCCGATGTGTTCCAAGTTGAATCCTCCAGTCCTGTCATTGGTAGGGATACGTTTTTCCTGGGTTTGCAGATGATAGCCAGCAAACGATGGCGAGTGCATTTCGCTGACTTCAGCCAAGCGTTCATGCAAGGGAGTGCTCTCAATAGACACTCGCCATTATACTGCGAATTGCCAACTG